AATACATAAATATATAAATATACACTCAAGGGACACAGGTGCTGATAGGTTTTGTGCATAAATAACCAAGTAAGAAGCGCCTTCCCAAGATAGAAGCCCAAGTTCGCATGACACAGGCATAGTAAAATGGGCTCTCAGACCTGCACTCTACTTCAAGACAAAGACAAAAGAAAAAAAGAGAAAGAAATCCTAAGCCTGGTTTGCCTTTTCACAGAATACTCAAAGCTGGCTCGCAGCTCCTCTGAAGGGCACATTGTCAGCAATGATTGAAGTGGCATCTTACCCAGGAGCGGCTGCAGACTCACACTGCCAGGGCTCCCGGGCCAGCTTTTCAAAACACCATTATTCTCGGACATGCGAGTTGTACGATCAGAACCCGAGTGAAAATCTGATTTCCCCCTCATACTCATCTTGTTTTAACTAGATTAAGTGCATCTGTTTACGAAGTCCTCTTAGTGCCCTGGGTACTGAAATTTTAACACCATGAAACACGTCTTTGTGGAGAGAAGGGGACCGAAAGTGGAGCCCCACGGCTTTGAGACTGGACTGTGGGCCAGGGGCTGAGCAGAGAAAACCAGGGCTTAAGAAAGGGCATGGCAGGAAGTTGCTGGCTGAATTCCCATCAAGCAGATCTTGGGAGAAATCAGGAAAAAATAACTATATAAGGCCAATATTATAAACATCCTGGTCTGGGGACAGGCTTCCTAAGACTTATTTTCAAACAGCTGACCCCAGGCATGGCCATGGCCCAGAGGGACAGCCAAGGCTTTATTACCACAAACTTGTCTAGCAAATGCTCATCAACAATTTAAAATTTTCAGGTTCCCTTTTTGATCATTTGAGCATAGTTTAATTTTTTTTTACTTTGAATAATATAATTTGATAGCAAGTAGTCAAAAAAATTAAAAACAAAACACACACAACTCAACAAAACAACAACAACAAAAAAAGCTAGCCAAACTGAATAATGCCCAATAGAATTACCTAAAGGCCATTATTTCCCCTAAATTAGGCAGAATTTGATTTCTGAATATGCAACCAAATTACATATAAATCCTTGCCAAGCGCAGGGAGAATTGTAAAAAGTATGTGTTCTTGGATATTGCTCTGACTCATCCAGTTTCTTGTGTTACCAAATAAAAATTGGGAAGGGGGAGAAGACATTAAATTAATTTATTACAATGTGAAGGTAAGGAAAAAAAGTCAGCTAATAAAAAGAAGGTTAGCAACTCGGCGTGATTACACAATGATTTCAGGTGAAAATTACAAAGCTAATATCCTGGCATTTAGTTGCTGTGCTCTGTAATGATACACTTGTCAAATCTGTATTTGTTCCAGTGGGACAAAAAACTTGTAAGTGGCATAATGGAAGATAATCTCTTTTTCTTTGTGGCTTTTTAAAAATTCAATGTTTTAATCCACCCATTTAATCACAAAACATATATCACATTACTTATAATATTTATAGTGTTTAGGAGTGTGATTAGAAATAGATTATAGTGTTGTGGTTGGATGCAGGTTTTTTTTTTTCTCCCATGAGCATGTCTCAAAGGTATGCAGCCATTTTAGAATTTGCACTTGAGAGCAGTTTCATGTGAAAATAAGCCCCATATATTTGCGTTCAGAATCCCAGTCTGGTCGTTCCTGAGCTTGCTCATTATTTTGGAAAAACCAGATTCGGCATTTAGAAGGGCCTGGTGTTTCGGATGCCAGGATCTCTGTGGCCAGCCCAGTCCTAGAGTGGCTGTCCTTCTGGAGCCTCGAAACTTGCTAGAGCACAAAATGTCTTTAGTGTTTTCTGAACCATACAGCAAGAAGAGACGAGGTTGTCCTCCTTGTCCAACCGTGGCTGCAGTAGGAGGGCCTTCCTAGGGATCTATGTGGTGTGAGGGGACTGCTAAGCACAGGGCCACCCTGCCCCACACTTCCTGATCGAGGCTGGGGACTTTGATAGGAAGGAGAATTATAAAGGACCATACAGTGCCAGAAAAGGTAGTTTTCACCTGCCCTGTGGCTGGGACCCAGTATAGCCACACGGGTTTAAAGCAGTCGGCCCCTGCCATTCTGGCCCTGGGAACCTATCCCTGAGAGCTGGGGCCACAATGCCCCTTCCCCAGGAAGAGTGAAACTCACTGTTTGTGGTTGTCTATCTTCAGTTACTGGCAGTTGTAGAAAATGAAAGTTGATCAGGACAGGCCGTGTCCTGGATTTTTTTTTTCTCCTTTTCCCTAAACTGTATGTTATGGGTTTGCCTGCACTGATGTGTTGTGGCCTTAGCAGTAGCCTAGGCCAGGGTCACGGTGGTCTACAGAACTTATAAAGCAAGTCACTGGTAGTTAAAGGCCCTGGCAGAACTGGCCAACTCAGGCTAGCTTTACCCAGTGTGTCCAGGACCGCCCTCGTGGCAGTCCAGTACAACGTGGAACGAAGTTCCCTGGGAAGCGGGACACACAAGGAACTTTTGAATTTACCAATGGCATAAAAAAATTATATTTTTTATTACAACGGGCAAGTTTCAATTGGTTGACAGAAATGGCGAGATATGACGTCAAAGGACACTGGTTAGAATGCCAAGGCCAATGGGAAGGGGGAGGAGGGAGACAGGCACAGAGACTGTGGGATGGGCCCTGGAGGCCTTGTTCTCCCTGGCCCTGGTCGTCAACGGGCTATCATGCACCTCCAGAACCAGCCAGGTCCAAGTGGCTGTGATCCAGAGCATGTCTGGACAGGAGGAGGGAATCCAATCTAGGGACCCTGTGTTCACATGTGTCTCTGAGAGCCTGAGGCCCAGGCCGGCCTCTGTTTGGAAAACGCTTGGGCGCGCCAGTGAAGCGATCTGGAAGACGCTGAGGCCTCCTTGGCATTCTAACCAGTAACCAGGCCCTGGAGCCCAGCCGTCCCATTCCCCCTTTTAGGGGCCCGGTGTGGCCTAGAGCCAGCAGTGTCGCCGTCGGGCTGAGAGCAAAGCCATGGCCTTGAACTACCCCCGCAGCTCCTGTGCCCTAGTACTAGTAGCAGGAAGTTGTTTCCAGCGGGAAAGGGGCGAGCTCAGAGCTGGGCACGGGCTCTGGGCACCATGCCTACGCGAATCCCATACCTCCCCAGGCACCTTGCGCGCCCCCTTTGCATGCTCAGTTCTGTGCATTACGCCCCATACCCACTCGCGAGGTTCAGTGTGCCCTCCCTGCCTCTCCCCGCTGGGCACCGCGCCCCTTGCTCCGTTGGACTGACGGGGTCGACCGTGCGCGCGCCCCTTCCTTCGGGAAGCCACTGTCACTGTCCGGCCCACCATGCTGTCTCAGTATCCAATCTAGATCTCGGCGACCCTGGCGGCTGTCCTTAGCTTGCACTGAACTGCGGGCGGGCAGAGGGGACCGCTGTCCGCCGAGGGTCCCAGTCGGCCCCGAGCGCGCGCGCGCGCGCCCCGGTGCTGCCCGCAATCATGGCAGCCGGCGCCTTGGAGCGCAGCCGCGGAGCGCGCCCCGGCAGCCTCCTCCGTGCCAAGGCGGCGCGGGCAGGGGACGCGCTCCTGTTCAGCCCTCCCCGCTGCGTTGGCCTCGGGGCTCTACGGGTGGGTCTCCGCCGAGCGATGCCCAGTAGGGTGGGTGCGCGAGGGCGACGGGCGGGGCCGCGG